AGTTCTGTAAGTGTGATGTTTTCTAAGTCAAAGATTTTTGGATTGTCATGAACATTATTTAAAAATGTGTGGAACATTTAGGCCTTCATTCTAGGGTGTGAGAGCTTTTGGGAAATGGAGAAAGGCAAATACAGCCGACAAGCAAGAAGAACTGCAACACTGATGTTTCTGATTACTAAATCCCTAAAAGATTCACAGACATTAAAAAACCTCCTATGGGGTAACATCTGTAGTTACAGAGAGAAACCACCTACAGCCTCTTTCTTGTATTTCTCAAAGTCTATTCTGAACTAGCACATTCAGTGGGAAACCATTTGTGCAGTCAGAAGCCTGTTACCATCAGACCATATCAGTCTAATCCAAATTTCTGAGCTGTCCAGTGAACTTCTAGTGACCCATTCTGACCTCCAGACAGCATCTGGCATCTCCTCTTATGTTTATTCTGTATTGAAATACAGTAATGCCTTGACACAATATGTTGTCTTGCCAAGGCAGCTTCTATTTTTGGTTTTATAAATACATTAAAAAATACATTAAAATATATTTTTAATTTAAAAAAATAAATAAATGTATAATTGTTGCTGTTCTCAAAAGTGTCAGTGTCTCTGTTTCAGGGGAGCCGTGGCTGTTTGCTCCCTGTCCTGGGAGGTGGACAGGGCCTGTGTCTGTCAGGACAGGAGGTGCTGTAGGTGCCGCTCAAGGCTGTATTGCCTTGCAGCGATTCCCTGCCCTCAAGTCCCTTTCTGAGGCTCTTGTAGGTGTTTTTGCTTTGCTTTTCTTGACACTGTCTTGTCCTTTTGCCTGTCAGTTCTCCATACCTTTATCTGGTATGTCCAGACAGGAACCCTCTTGGTTTTTTTTATGCTTCACCATTTTGGTTACTATGATGTTGATGTCCCTGGAGAAGAGGGCACAGTAGAAAACACAGAAAAGCACCACTCCAATGTTGTCTAATTTCTGCCATCAGACAGGAGGAGTTCACTTGAAGAATGAAAAAAGGAAGAGGCAAGAGGCCATCCTGTGATGTGAGGTTCAGGCAGAGCAGAAAGCCAGATGTGGCTTGGGAGGCAGGGACACTGAGGTGGCAGCAGTGTTGGGGAGGTGGTGTCCCTGCTGCAGGGATGGGGTGCTCAGCTCCAGAGGGTACAGCCAGGGCAGGGATGGGCTGTGTGCAGAAAAGGGGACAATCACAGTTCTTCGGATCAGCACACACAAAGTGTTGGTTGTGTGTGTTTCTCTGCACCCTTTGCTGTTGGCCTTGCTCTGCCACTCTGCTTCTTGTTTCATCTTCTCAGAGCTGTGAGAGTGGTCCTTTCAGCTGAGGGCATCCTGTGCTCTTCCTCATTTTGTACGTCCCACAGTGGTTTTACCCCCTATGCAGTTAAGTGCTGAAGTGGTGCAAAAGAATACACGTGAATGGAATTGGGAGGAGAAAGGATGGATAGGAGTGTGAGTAAGAACAGAATTGGGCCCTGTGGAGAGTCCTGGGGTAGATATCTCCCAGGAAGGAGGATGAGTCAGTGCCATTTTGTGCTGCAGCCTTCGCCATGGGTGATACTTGTTCAGGACAGATTCTGTCCCTCTGAGGAAGAGAGAGGCAGATCCTAACCCACAGACAGGTGCAGCTCCGAGAGGTCTTTCAAAAGATGTAATGTCATAATAATACTCTCTAGTATCAAGACTTTTTTTTTTTTATGTCAGTATTATGAACAATTCAGTGTATTGTCTGTCACTGTCTTGTCTTGCACATGTTTTTAGGAACAAAATAAGCTTTTAGATAAGGCAAGGTACTGCTTGTGTGTTCTCCTTCTATAAAAGTTCTGGTATGGAAAGCATTTCTGTGTCTTGGAGTGTGGTGGGCTTGCAGCAGGGAGAGGACAGTTGGGCAGTGACTAATATTTTATCTATGGGTGATACCACAGATGGGAACATGAGAAGGGAGGCGAAGGAATGAGGTGCGGCAAGGGGTGAGACTGAATGTGTTTTTGCTGGAGCTGTCTCCTCTTTCTGTTTGTCCTTTCTCTACGTTTATTTTGATGCTTAGCAAAGGGAACTGAAGAAAGTTCAAAGGTGTCAGATTTAGACTGAGAGTAGATTTGGCTTGCTGACCTTGTTCTCCAGGCCTTATGGTGTCCTCTGTAGGAGCAGAGAAGTGGGCCTGCAGTCTGGTCCTCGTGGCTAGGCAGTTTCCAGGAGGGATGGGATGAACATGAGATGGCTGTGCCCAGGATCCTGTCTGCTCTGAATGACTGTGAAATGTCCGCAGCTGATTGACGGGCAACAGCAGGCCCAGTGCTCTGCTCTCTGCTGGAAGGAGGCCACAATGTGTAGACTGACAGACAACAGGGAGATTTTAAATACAAGCTCAAGTGACAAGCATTTTCTGGGCCATTTGTTTCTGCTGACTCTGCCTGGGTCAGAGGGTGGGGGTGAGTACGTGGGAACCGAGGGAGCTGCTCAGTTCCAGCCGTTTTCCTTCCTCCGTGTTTATGGGAGAGATGTTTCCAGCTCTGCACAAATCCTCAGTTTTGCCTGTTGCTGCCTCCTGCTGATGCTCTCTGCTCAGTGGGCAGCACAGTCGCTTCCTGTGTGAACACGTGCTGAATTCACCTGTTTGACTTCCTGCCCCAGCCCTCCTCTCTGCCCATACCAACTGCTGCCTTCAGTTCTTTGCTGATCAGTCTTTCCCCTCTGTCTTTTCCGGTTCCTTCGTGCACATTAGTCAGCACAAGGAGTATCTAAGACTTGTGATGATCAGGGAGTGCCCCAAGCTGGGACTTTGGGGACTACAGTGGATTTGGGTTGTTAATTTGGAGATGAAGGTCCAAATTATATTTAGAGTCATATATAATTAAATATTTTAATTTTATATTTAGAAATTATAAAAGGATGAGACAAAGATTAAATAAACTGTGTTTTAATTTTTTATTTTATTTTGGTTATTGCTGGAACAAAAAACGTTTTCATCCCACCCCCAGTGGACTGTGTTGCATACCCCCTGTGGTGCATGCACCTCAGTTTGGAGACCATGAGTATACTTCTCCCAAGCACTTTCTTGGTCTTTTACTGTAACTCAGAGAACTTTGGTAAGGTAACTCAGAGAAGTTTCTGAGCCAGATGTGTTTTGTGTGTCATTAGCATCCCCTGACTGACCACTTCGTGGCTAGACATCCCCTTTTGTTGGTCTGTGAGCCTGACTCCTCCTGGCTCCTCTGGAGGCCCCAGTGGATGTTCTGGAAGGGGCAGTGAACAGTCAATCCCCAGCTGCCCTCTCCAGGCCACTCATGACTTTGCAGAGCTCTAGCAACTGCCCTCTTAGGTTACCTTGCATTAACTCTTTCCAGGTGGAAAATCATAGTGTAGTTACTTTTACTTAAGTGAATGCAGTTCCTTCTGTGCCAATCTTTGTAGTTTTGTCAGATCTCTTCCATTACTGAGCTGCAGGCACCAGAACTGCACACAGCACTCAGCAGGTGGGCACAGCTCGGGCAGTGGTGCAAGGATGTTCTGTATTCTCTTCCTCGTCCTTCCTTTTCTTTATTGGCTTTTTTGGACCTCTAATAAGCAGTGAACTGATTTTTATTTTATTTCTCTGGAAGTCTGTTTCAAATCCAAGATCTTGCTTCTGTTGGGCAGCAGTCAGCTCAGAGCCCATTGTTTTGTATCTGATGATTGAATTGTTTTTCCCGTGTGATTCACTTCAATATGTATTTAAATCCATTTCCATCTTCTTTCTAGGTGTTCATTCTGTCTCACTAAGTCCTTCTGCAGTTCTTAGAAGCTGGGCTTCATCCTTGCCAGCTTGAATAACTTAGCATTACCAACAAACTTTTCACTTTCTTGCTTTTTTGTCTTTCCTTTTTTTTCCCCAGGTTGCTTATGCATATGCTGAAAAGTGTGAATCCTAGCAAAACTGTTCACATGCCTTCCTTTTATTTTCAGAACCAATTACTTTTACTTCATTTCTATCCTTTAACAAACTATTTACCCATAATGGATGCCACTGCTTCTTGGTTTCCTTAGAAGAATTTGTAGACGGATTTGACTTTCAAAAGACTTTTGTGTATGATTGTTCTTACTCACTTACTGGTTCAAATGCTTTTACAGTGTATGTGTATTTGTATTTTCACATATACATAGACATATAATAAACATCTTGATAATTACTAGAATGAAACTAAGCTCCCCATTTTAAATTGCATTTTACATTTGGTAATTATTTTACCATTGTTTTGCCTTGATGACTGTAAATTTTTAGGATTTAGAATTGAGTTTACAGTATGTCTTATACAGCATTAAGATTCTGATTTGACCCAAAGTATCTCTCCAGAGCACCCTGAAGTCAACATGTCAGGACTTCAGAATGCCTACAGGGGCTGCTGACAAACTACCATATTTCTTTTATTTTTAATTTTTTTGTTTAATTTTAGAGGCTTGATCACTTACATGACCTTTCCTTAAAGGATTCTAGTTGCTTTATGAACATACACTGCTTTTCAGTGTAGGTGAACGAGAGGACTCTTAATGAAAATGCTTTATTGTCGTGTTCTCATAGTTCACCTTTGCTTGTCCCAGTCTCCCTGCTGCTCCAAGCAGCCTAGTCAGTGCACAGGCTACATACAGCTCTGCAGATGTGAGCTGGCCTGGAGCTGTGATTAGCAGGTTGCACTCTGTGCAGGTGCCATGGGGCTTTTTCTTCGGTCTGAAGGTAGAGCTTTCTGCTGTCAGCTGGACCGGATTTGTCACTGACCGCTGAGTGTTCTCCTAAGACTAGTACTTTTCATCCCTGTTTCTTGTCTGCTTTGTCATTGAATTCCTCCTTTCGATGTCCAGGAAGTAGCAGTCCAGAGCTCATGTGCTCTGTGCTGCCGCTTTGTGTTTATCAGGATGGTGACAACATTGAACATGCTGGAGCTGGAGTCTGATTTTGTATAAATGTTTTTGCAGCCGAAGAAAAGGGGACTAAACTGGCTCTTCTTTCTGTTCTGCTTCTTCTCCAGCGACCTGGGATGCCATCAGGAGCTCGAATGCCCCATCAGGGGGCTCCCATGGGTCCCCCAGGTGCCCCGTACGTTGGCAGCCCCTCTGTGCTCCTGGGGCTGCCCCAGCCCGTGCTGGAGACCAGCAGGAAGCGTGCGGCGCCGCAGCAGGTGCAGCAGCAGCAGGTGCAGCAGCAGGTGCAGCAGCAGCAGCAGCAGCAGCATCCAGCCACCCAGAGCAGGACCAGGAGGTGAGTGTGCCAGAAAGAAAACGGGAGGGCAGCTTGAGGAACTTTTAGCACTAGGTAGGACCTATAAGATCAAATGAGACAGAAGATGGGCATGTTGTCAGTTTCTTAAAGCAGGAGAAACATTGGTAAATTTTACTCTTTACTTTGTGAATGGTCTTGAACAAACTAACCTCTACTCATGCCTGGTTTTGCAGTCACAATGCTTTTGCCTCACAGGTTTATTGGGCTATAAATCTGGCCATTATATTTAGTCTTTAAAGTTAATGAACAGTTCTTTCCTAATATACTCTGCTCTGTGTAGTTTCTTTGATCTCTGACTGGCTAACAAAATGGTTTGTGAGTGAGACGAGTTGAAAAAATTTTTGTTGGTCACATGAATACTTGTGCTATTGTCACTCAGGAGAGTGGTCATAAAACTTGGAATTGTTGCATATGAAGTTGCATTCCTGCATATGAAGTAAAGAGGTATGCATAGGAAAGAATTTAATAGAATTAAAGGGATTTTTTTAAAGGGAAGTTTCTTTTTAAAATATGCCCTCTTTGTACATTGCTGAATGCATTCTCTCCTGAGTAACAGTTCACTAATTTCTTTTTGCAACTTACTTGATCTCAGCAGTCGTGAATTCTAGGTGTGAGCCAGTTCCTGATAAAAACGTAGGGTGCAGCCATCTGGGTGGTCTGCCTTTTGCAGAATCCCTATGGGTCTGTATAGAGATTGGGTGTTCTGGTGGGGTCACTGTGTCAGGTTGGAGGTAAAGCATGACTCTCTAAGCTCAGTGCTTCAGAAGCCCTGCTCTGTCCAGGTTATATGCCTTGGATCAGAAAGCCAGACTTGGGAATGCTAGTATCTGGGATGCATCTGGAAAGTACTCCAATCCTGAGTGTTCTAATTGAGTGAGATTGAATAAGACTGAACACAGAAGGAATGTGTGTGAATGCAGCACCGTGTGGGTTGTGGAGCCCTGGCCCAGCACTGGCCAAAAGGCGCCTTCCACAGTACCTCCCAGGAGGGTTGCCAGGAGCTACCCAAAATAGGGCCTATGGTAGGTAAACCTGAAAAATTGCCACTGCTGGATAATTAAGATAAACTTTATTCACTAACTGGTTTACAGACATCATTTGAAATAATGTTTTCCAAAAGTCAGTGGCCTAACTCACAGAAGGAAGCAGTTCCCCATCCTCAGTTCTTCATTTCAGTGCTTCTAGTTTTGAACCCAGCAGTAATCTCTGCTGTAGGGAGACAAGCTCACACCAGTGCTTCCTAGGTACTGCCATGCCTTCCCTCCAGATAATGTGTTGAATGTTTTCCCCCTGTTCATTTTCACCTCTCTGTTTCCCATTTAAATTTTTCTGTTTTTTTCAGGCCAACTTTTCTGACATCTTGGGTCCAATTCTGAGAGTAATTGAGTTTTATGTTTTATGGCACAAATGGGCCAAGAAGGTATATTGTCCTTTTTGGCACGTTTGATGGAGACAAAACTCTCAATTTCTTTAATACTCTTGGACAACTGGTTGAGACCCAAGTTGTTGGGGTTTTAGTTTGTTACTTGCTTTTTAGCTGCAAGCCTTTGGGGCTGTTGCAGATGCATGTGTATCCCATTTCCCTTTGGGAGGATGGAGCTTGCTTGGACATTACTTCCAGATTGTGTGAAGTGTTTTGGTGCAGATTTGATTTTAGGAGCTGTGGAAGGTGTTGGAGGTTTATGCCATATAACAATCTGTTATCCCTACACTTTCAAAAAGGGACCCTGTTCACCCGCGGAGCTGGGTGTGACTGGGTGGGTGAATTTTCTGCCCCAGAGGAAGGATGTAGTTTTCACCTCTGGGCACAAAGAGTTCCTCAGGCTTGGCCTTTATGGGGAAGAATCTAAGAACCTGGTATTTCAGGCCAGGCTTATTAGAAAACGTAGGAAGGGAGTAGGCCACATTGATGTGTATGGAAGCAGCTTTTACGTGGACATGGGTGGTGACAGATCTCCTGTATGAAAAGAGTGAGAAGAGGCATCCTTGTGACGTGGCAGAGCAGCAGCAGGCAGTTCCCTTTCTCCCATTTGTCTGTCACAGGTGGAGTGATTAACCTCCTGCCTAAGATAAAGGCCTCACAAATTATAGGGCTGAAGAATAAGGCCTGAATTCCCACTTGACCCTGTTAGAGCGAGCTAGGTGACAGGTTTGGTGAGCACAAACAGTTCTTGGAGTCTGAAGATTTCAAAAGACAACGTATTTGGCAGTCTTCCTGACAGTACCGCTTCTTAGGCACATATATATTTGTGTGTCTGTAACAAGGACTACTATGTTTTTAAAAGCATAGATAGATAAATGTCCTTATGTTTGGGTCTGGAAACATGAGGTATATACAGTGCAGGCACATGTGTCTTCCTACATGTGCATTCATAAAGATGAACACGTATTGTATGATTCTATGGTCTGGTGGGAGGTGTCCCTGCCCATGCAGGGGGGGTTGGAACTAGATTATCGTAAAGGTCCCTTCCAACCCAAACAGTTCTGTGATTCTCTAATACGGAAACAAACCTGCTTACCTTTGTATATCACTGATGCAAATACATTACAATAAGACAAATATATGTAGTAGGGATGCTGTGTATGTGCGATGGGTTTCATACATCATATGCAATACACATACATATGTGCATTTCCATCAGCACTCAGTTTTGGGCACGAATGAATGCATGTCATCTGTTTGGACAAGTTCATGCTCTGTTTAGTAGCACTGAGCCCCTGAGGTGTGCAGGGCACTGGTGTGTCCGTGCAGACCTCACACCTGCTCCCTGTCCTCCTGCCTGTGTTCTGTGTCTCTAGGCAGCACGTGCACACGCACTTGCATACATTGCTGCCCTGTACCACAGAGGATGCTGTGATCAAAGAACTTGCACACTTCTTTCCAAGATGCATAACAGACAGCCTGATTTGTTCTTTGCTAACTACCTCCCCAGGCTGCTGAGAGAAGGGGTCCTAGGGCCTGGGCATGGGTGAGACCCTTTTGCTGATGCATGCACAGCTGTGCACCAGCATGTGGAGATGTCAGGATAATTTAGCAGGTGGCCTCGTTACTCCTAGATCTGTCACCATGGTAACGTGTTTTTTTCTTTAAAAAATGTACAGTGCCAAGAGGAGGAAGATGGCTGACAAAATTCTCCCTCAGAGGGTGAGTCGCTTTCATTTCCTATTCCCTTCACAATCAGTTCAGCATCTTAGTGTAATTAGAGGGATTTTAGAAAATACTTTCACTTTTTGTTTAAAAATCTAATTAAAAAGTAAGTAGGCAGTGGGTGAAAGTCTGGAGCGCCAGGCTGGGGCTGGGGCCGGGGCTGGGGCCGGAGCCCCCCGCCCGG